TTGATCTAGAGACTGATAAAAGGGGCTTTACTTTGATTCTTAAATTTTTCTTGGAGTTTGTTTGTTTGTTTGGTTATTTTTTATATCATCAATCGAAAAGTGATTTAACATCTCTATTTCTTTGGACTAACTAATCCTAGCTTTATACTGGACCTCGCATATGAACGTAACAAATGGGTTAGTTCGCCAGAGAGTCCCCTGTTACTCAGTAGTACTGTATCCGACCGCATAATAAGAAGGACAGTCTACGTTCGAATGTTCATCATACATTCCTAATTTTTGTTCTTTTCCTTGCTTGTGTCACAAACTTTTAACATTTCACTTATTCCGCATTGCAGTCTCGCGGGTTTCCGGAGTGAATGTTATTTTGTTGTTTTTTTTTATGGGATTACTGACTTTCCTCACGTGCCATTTCTCTTGCCTCTCTTTAGTTAATTTTGAAAGTCGCCCCCCCCCCTCTCTCAACAGGCGAGCAGAAACCGGAAGCAGCTAAAAATTCTTAAAGACCTACGTAAAGGTATTTGAATTTTATTTTTACTTTGTTGTTATTTGTTGTGGCGCACAGAATTGCCTCTAGTTTTTAGCTAACCTGGCGGAAATTCAGGGGAGATTCACACATACTGTAAATGAAGAATTGAAAATCAGGGACAAGCTTTTTCAATTCCCAAGCAGTGACGTAACTGCTTTCCGGAAGGAAGCAGATTAGATATAAAATTTGTCAAAGTTAAACAACTATCAAAAAAACATTAACTACTTTTGACTTACGCACTGCTACTTTGGCGAAATAACCGAGCTGTTATGTCGACAAAGTAAACCAAACTTTATGCAGTTGTAAACTGGAACACCATCAAACAAGGAAACTAAAAAGGTTTTCAATACCGTCTTACCGTCTCACCTAGAGACTGGGAGCGGAATTTGGCAACGTTAAACAACAGAAGGGTTCACGGTCTCTTTGTAATATTTGTTATACTCGACAAATTGTAAATGTATATCAAAGCATTTACGAATAGTTCATAGCGGCGTGGGTTCATAGTGCATATTCAGAGGTGTTAGGAGGTGAACTTGCAGTAGGGTAAAGCCTCCAGATACCCAACACAGCAAGCTGATGACTTTCAATAAAGAGATAAAAAAAATTCATACATTGTATGCACTCTGGTACATTTAATTTTTAGAAGAGTGTTCAAAATTTCTAAGTTTACCTTTAACAGAGGAAAGTAAGAGGAGTAATAAATTGACTTTCAGGTACATATGGCTAACCAAAAACATCTGAAAAAAATGACTTTCACGGCAGTATTGGTTTACAGCCCCCCCCCCCTAACTTTTAGCCCTTTCCCCCCCAAGAGGAATTAACATCTAATTTCTCCTTACAGCATCACCACTGAATCAAACATGAAGGTCATGAGAATAAAGGAAATGATCACCTACAAGTGAAGCTCTTGATTGTTTCACAAATTCTCCTTGTTCGCTCTTAAGGATGTGTACCAAGAAGGAATAAGGTGAACGCACGCTCACGGTACACTAGCACGCTAAAACAAAATAACGAGCTTTTAACACTTTACTAACGTGTAAGTTACTTGCCTCATTAACTTCGCAGCTATTGTCTTGCTTCGCACGTGTTAAGATCTTGCTCGCAACTTTGCACGATATAACACGGCGACCGTGCCAATTTTACAACACGCCTCTTAGAGTTAAAGTTGCTTTCGATTTGTAAAAAGAAGTACGTCCTAATCTTAAAGGCTTTTTAGCTCACCGACATGCCCGGTCGATATACGATACTCAGTATCCAGTGGATCTAATTCGCCAAACGTAAAGGAATATTTCGACTTGTTGGCCATCATTTAAAACTATGTTTGAATTTCTTTCCTTCACTTTTTAATTCCTCGTTTTCTTAAAACAGCTTGCAAAACACGGGCCGAACGAGGAAAGTCCTCTGCTCTTGAAATCGTGCATGAACTTTTGAAGGTAGCAGGCACAAACTTTTAAAATAATAAGAGCGAACCTGTATGATGCCAAGCAAATGGCTACTTCGTTGAGGGTAAACTGTGTTCTCACCGTGTTTGTCTGTTTCGCTAGTCTCCGAGGCATTATTTATTTATATTGTTAAATTTGTTAAATCGACAAGTACGAAAGTCCGTGTGGTGCAGTGGTGGTTTTTATTTTTTTTTATACGGACGGAGTTTACAAAATAATGAAATATCTAATATCTCAGAAATATCTTTTTTCCTTAATTAACTAACAGCCTATTTGCCAAACTTTAAGCGTTATAGACTCCTTTGACTGTCGTCACCTAACTTGTTTGTAAACGCATTATTTTTGGCAAATAAATGATTTTCTGGTCTGCCTTTTATGCCCGGTTCTTACGCAAGGTATAGACCGCAGCGCTAAAGACTAAGAGCTCGTAAGATGCCAAGATCGGCGTATAGTAAGTAATGCGCGGCTTCACTCAGAGAGCTTCGTTTTGCGCCGGCTGACTAGCGGTTATTTATTTTAAAAATGACGGCTTGCATAAAGTGACGAACAGCGACCGCGTAGGGGACATGGAGCCGTAAATCTGTTGCAAAAGGACTCACAAAGGTTCGGTACTGGGCTAATTAACTTCGTGAAGCGATAAGGATTTGTATTTTACGAGATAAGAATTAAGTTTTAAAAAAGTAATTTATGTGTTCAAACTGAGCTCCTCTGGACCTTGTGAAACACTTCGTGCTCACTGAATTCCTTGTGAAAATCCTGAGTGAAAGAGCCGTGATTTGCAGTAAATGTTTCCTTTTTTATAATAAATTTCGGATAGGACAGAAGATCTTCTTCATTTTCGCTTATATTCTGTAAGTAATATACTTTACAAACACCGCTCTGTATGTATGTTTCAGTGGTGCTGTTGTCCTTACGTGTGACGGTGGCTTGGTAGATTAGTGATGATTGGAGGTAGTTTCTTTTAAGTGGGCATGTGTTCTTCTGTCGGTAGTTGCATGAATTTTTGTCTTTTGTGTTGGTGTCATCTGCGTAACAATTCTCGCTGCTACAGGCAACAAAATGGCGTCGAAGAGAACGTGATGCTAACATGGTACAAGTTGACACTTAAAGTTACCGCCTCTAGGCTGGCATTAGTATTTGAATTAAAAAAAAGTCATCCACAGGTATGTTTGTGGCATAACGTACTCAGTAATGTCTCATTTCGAAGGAAAATTTTGCTTTTTCCCCAGTGTCTTGGAGCCTTTTGTAAAACAACACAGACGATATTGATAACGATAGCGGTAACGATAGAGAAAATGACAACGGCAACGATAACAATAACACTGACGACAAGAATTACAGGAACGAGAAGGATTATGGGATGATAAATAGAAATGTTTACTTCATAGTTTAGAGAAGATAAAACAGCCGGCATACACCCATTTCAATCCAAGTGCTTCTAGGATACAAAAAGATTTTCTCGTTCATTCCGGCTTAATTCCAATGTCGATTAACTTACCTTCCCTGTCAAACCAGCTTTCTTGGTGCAAATTGGCTAAAATATAATGCGCCAGTGGCGGACGAGGAACCTTAGTGAGAAAACGAAAAAGGGCTCGTTTTTGAGATCGTGGCGCCACAATTGACATGAGCTGTATTGGATTGGAATCAAGAAAGAACGGGTAGAAGATTTTCCATTATAACAGAAAAATTGATGTAAATCTGGTTTGCCTTGTTGTAAAGTGATGTACACTCAAAATGAGTGAAAGAAGTTTTTGCCAACTTATTTCATCAGAGATCTAAAACCGGAAAATATTCTGATAACCTCAAATGGCCACCTGAAGCTGTCAGACTTCGGTCTGAGCGAAGTTGTCGCCTTTACAATCACTGAAGTATGTGGAACTTATCCATATATGGCGCCTGAGGTATAAGGCATTGTAGCAGATTACCCTGAAAAGTCTTTGCTCAAATCGCTGATGTTTTTCTCACTACTTATTTAGCTTCTCGTTAGATTTTTAAGAAAGTCCTTCTTTCTTCTCCTATTCTGAGGATAAAATGTATTCATATAATCCTCCACTAAGGCCAATCTTAATAAAGGCATTGTCAAACGAGACCCAACATCTTTCTCGGCAATATGGGGGTATGTTACCTCTCTGTTTGTCACGAAAATTTAGCAAATTATGATAATAACATTTTGTAATACCTCTCCGCCCTCAGTTTCCGATAAAAACAGAGTAAAAGGACCCCCTGTTAGAAGATCCTGACCACGCCCTTGTTAATGCATTGATATTTCAAATCAGGCTCATGCAGTTGAATTGTTAATACGCTTTTTACAATGCTAACGAATTGAACCTTTTGCCTCACTGTGACATTACATTTGATTAAAAACATTAACACTTTGTAAGAATCGCCAATATTCCAGTCCAAGAGGAAGTACAAGAAATTTACAGATTAGTAACTGACGCCCTGAGGTGTGTACTCAACAGGATTTACAGTACAGGTTTTGTTTTATCCACTCAAAATGCTTTTACATGGAAATGTTCACACATGACGTTAATTTAGTCAAACAAACATAAGTTGAAACTTAATCCGGTCAAACAAAATGCTCCACCAACCAAAATTAATTGAATTCACAATAAAAGATTTGATCATCGAGGTTTGCGGATCACAAAGTTTTGCGATGAACTAAAAGGACCCAATGGACTTTGCCTAGAAAGTATAAACAACTCCCTTAGTAAAGTGCTTCTAAATAAATATTTTTGGCAAACACTGCAGAGGAAATAGTGCAGTTAATTTTTAAAGGTATTTCAACTTCAACGAAACAAATCTTTTATTTCTCTCCCCTCCCCCTTTCATTATTTTTGACCGTCGACCGCCCCCTTGGTATAAATTTATTCCTCTCCCCAGCCTTCCGCTGCCATTAAAATCAAAGATGGCGGCCATAATATTCGTTATGAAATTACTTAGCACTCGCTCGCCAAAATTACGCCTGCTCTGCAGGCTATAATCACCAGCGCACCTTCTTTGAACCAAGCATAATCTGAACCATCCGTATGGCCATTGAGACAATTTGCTTCAAGCTGAAAAGGGGTCATCATCAAAGGGAAACGAACTACAAGGGATCCGAGAAAGAAGAGGAGGTAAGCCGTGTCTTATCTGGGTTTTCTCTAACGCTAAGGCCCAGAAAAATTCAATCTTTTTTTACCAATCGTCGTTTGATACTAGCTTTAGTTTATAATTAAAATCACGTTTCGGCAAAACAATGACTTTGGCCTTCATCGCCTAAAAACCCTCGCGCCGGTTCATCGCTCGAATAACATTCTAAAGTGTTCGTATTCTTCAAGTTATTTCTTGTCCTGTCGTTTGGAATGTTTTATACGGTCATGGTGTTAATGGAAAAGAAGTTATCTTACGGATTTTGTTTTGCCTAGAAAGTTTTCAAATGATAGCGAACGGCGAGCGCAAGTTTCTATCTCTTTCTCTCTTCAGTCAACTATCGTAGGATTTACTCTATTTTTAAAAAAATCGCGCTTTGTCGAAGAAGTATTGTTTTAGCCTGAGAACGAAGTAGTGGCCTTTCCCAAAATTCAAATAAAATGAGATCGAGTCAGCGATGATCATGTTTACATTGAGTCTGATGCGGTAATTTGATTTTGACAATATTGTCATGTGAGAACCCGTCAAACATCTGAGAATTAAAATACGGACCGCAAATGTGTGGTGCAAACAAACTTACGGGTGAAGTGGAGTTAGTTCTACTGCGGAATGAGTGAATTTCATTGTTTAGTTATGGTACTTTTCAGCGCTATGTTTTCATGTTTTCTACTCGAACTTCAGGAAATGGTTTCAATTGTCTCACAAAACATGGAGCCACTTTCTCTTCGCTCAACATCTCAGTCGAGGCGTACGTAATGCTCGGGTTATGGTGAACATGCCTCCGATACGATATTTTTTTCCTAATGGTGGAAACTGAAGAATCAACCTCTGAAACCGATAATGATCACATTTTGCAAGAAGCGTCTGAGCTGTGATCGTGTAATTAAATGGGGTCTTAGCAATTTGAGCTCACAAGCACGCTGGTAAGCACATGGTTAGTGTAAGTAATTGTTGTTCACAGTTTTTGAATTCGGGAGCCGTTTTTGAGAGTCTGTTTCTGTAACTTTCCTGGATATTTCTGTTGAATTCATTGAGCTACAATCTCGGAATTTCATAAGCGATTATGAACGATAATTCGTATCAGCACCATAATTCAGGGAGGTTTTATTAACCGTGACATTATCAGTTTACAATTCGTGAACCATTTCTGTAACCTGCTTGGATATTTTCTTTTGAATTAATCGAGTCACACTCTCGGAACCGTATATGTAGCACAAGTGAAGCACATTTTCAACTTTCCAAATGATTTTAGGAAACTATACTTAATTGACTCTCGATAAATTGGCCTGCCATAACGCGTTGATTATTTTATCATTTTGTAGCCCCAAAAGCTCGGCTTATGATTCCGGAGGTACTGAACTTGATATACTTGATTCAAAAGGCAGCCTTCAAAGAGGATATACGACCGTATATTGCACCCGGTTTACATATGTAGATAATTACATGAAAGATACCTATTAAAGCTGTATTCAGAAGCAAAGACACGTAGGTAATATACTTCTGCCTTATTTTTATATTAAGGGGTTTCTTTTTATGTAACATATATCCATCCCTTTAATTTCTTCCTTAATCTGCCTGCAAATAATTAAATTTTATGTTTTAATTCAGGTGTGAGAAGATAAAACAGAAGTGTTGCAGAGTTCTCCTTCCAGACTGAATTCAGGTGAGAACATCAGTAAACTAGTTGATGTCATATGCTTTTCCTGAATCTTTAATTTTATTGCCCTGGGTTTTTTCACAAAGGGTCTTTTATATCTTTGTGTGCCAGCTAATGAGTTAAATCTCAGTGAATAGATAATAAATAAATCCATCTTAAAGTTTTTGGCATTTACTATTTTAAAATTCATAATTGGCACTCTCTTTTCATCCATGTAAAGAGATATTACACATTTCTTAAACTAAAATTTGAATCATGAAGTCAACTTAACTTTAATGAGTTTGAAACTTCATTGTACATAACAACACTTTACTGGAGTATGTTACATTTATTTGCTGCCTTTCTGGTACATATATACATGTTATTTGCAGGCTGGGAGGTCTGTATATATGGTGAAAAACTGTGACGGAGGTCTTGAAAATACTGCCCAAGGCCGTAGGCCGAGGGCAGCATTTTCAAGACTGAGGTCACAGTTTTTCACCATACCGACCAACCCTTAGCCAGTAAATAACATATTTATTTTTTTGAAACTTGACGAAATTTGTTCCGAAAGAACCCAAATGATTTAGGGCTGTAAATACGGCAAGATCTTCCATAAACTGAACAGTTTTTGAGCCAGTAAATGGTAGTTAAAATAGAGGTGATGCAAATTCAAGAGAGATGCGTCAGCGAAACATTTTCATTTCCATAACAATAATTTAAAAGGCTTCCAAACAAACTTTGAAACATTATTTTTACAAGTATCTGTCACAATCTGACACCTGTCAATTAGAGAGTGTGTAACCAAAAGAAAGCGTAAGAACATTTGAAAAACAACGGAACTAGTTTGGCAAGGACTGTCATGACAATGTTTTCTTCAAAAACAGTCAATGATCTAATGGAAAGTATTATTCACTCTCATCGACGATTCATTCATGTACGAAGATTTACCTCTGTTCATTAAATAAACGGCAAGGAAAGTAATCGTGAGTAAATTCAATTTTTTTATTTTGAAGTTGTGAGAGTTTGCTTGTTTGTTTGCTGCAATGGCATGTGTAAATCTGGTCTTTCCTCCACAAAAACTAAATTCGAATGGCACACTCCAACGAGACACAAGGGGATTTAATGCGGCCTTTTCTCAAAAAATTCCTTCAGTTTCTCTTGTGCAATTTACGGTACAAATGTTCAAATTGAACAGACTTGGAAAGACTCACCGAGAGCATATGTTTGTTGTAAAACTTAAATTAAAACTTCGCTCGCTCTTTCAATGCGAACAAATTGCTTGAGAAAATTCAGGTATTAAATGAATGAAAGTTCCTTCATTCAGTTTAACTGTAACAAAATCCCTCACATTTTAACTTTCTTGGTACTTTTTGTGAACGATTAAAATTAATTGCAGACAGGTTTTAGGCCACTTGTCAACCAACGTAACGACACTATTGTTTATACAAATTCATTCTGAAACCAATATTTTTCTGTCAACCAAAGTGATTTGAGTGAGAGAAAAGGGAGGATTCATAAGTTATTCATCGGCTTGAAGTAGTTACTGATGTGTTTGCTTAAAAATACTGCCCAGCCGGAAACACGAGCTATATTTTATGAAAAATGGCAACAAAAGTTGGGATGTACTTGGCGACTCACGAAAGCATTACCGTGGCCCGTGGGCAGAGATAGGAAAATACTGACCGGGTAAAGAACCAATCAGATTGCAAGATTCATTACTGTGCCCTCTCAAAAAAAAATAGGATTACATAACCCTTTAACTCTCAAGATTTCATCAGTAATTCTCCTTACTGTCTGCCAAACAATTTATTTGCTGTTAGGTTGGAGAATTTGGAATTGGATCAACCAATTATCCCCTAATTGATATTTTTCTTTATACTCATTATTTGTCTGTTTGATATTGTACTGATGGTGTAAGGAGAAATTCTGTCTAGATCACTAGTGGGACTAAAAGGGTTAAAATCTGCGACTTCAATATGTTATAATGATTAAAATTTTTTAAAATGTAACCAAAAAATTGTGAGGAGAATCTGATGTTATGAGACAATGGAAAAACCTGTTGCTGGTTCCTTATCTCTTTAATGTTTAAATGTTCATGGGAAATGCTTTTTTTTTTTTAAAGCGAGGATACAGAAGTTTTCAAAGCTGATAGAAATAAGCTGTTTGCTAGTAATGAAAAGCAACCTGACAATCACACCTTAATGTTTGACATGCTTCACTCAAACATGTCAGTTGTGTGTACCTACTGTTGTAGAGGTGTCTTTCTTGCCCTGTGGTTCATGAGCTGTCGCCTCTTATCGAGTCCAGCTTTGTTTACCCCCATTGCACTTGCCTTAAACCAACATCTACCAGAATACTTTGAATAGTTCATACTAAGATAGAAAGGGGCCTCAGTGGTCAGCATTGAGTTTGGTCGTTTCTTGCGATAAATTTTGTAAACAAACGCAGGGTTTCTCTCATCGAAAACTCAGTACTTCTGACAGGTTCTTCATGATTGGATGAAATGTTTTCTCCACATGTGAAAATGTTATTTCTCTGATTTGATTGGCTGTAAACAGCTCTGAATGGCGAAAATATTTGACGGATCATAATATTTACTTGATGACTGAGTGGGAAGTCTGTGCATCATGATTGAGAGCAAATATCTTCTGTCTGATTAGTACGGGAAAGAGCCAGTTTGAATGTGTCTCAAAAGGATAATTTTTAGAATATCCTCTCAAAAATTCCACTCAAAACTTACTTTTGTCTCCTTGGAGTCCCCTAAAATCTTGCATGGTTGTACATCAGTGGACATGCATTAGGAACCAAGGAAGGTTCATGCATTACTGTTACATTACATGCAATAATAAGATACATGAAAAAGTTACTCAGTTCTGATTGGTTTAGGTAAATGCAGCTTATAGGTGATTCAATGCAGAAGAGGGTTTATTCAGTGCAAAGAAGTAACAAACCAGACTCAACAATTCCTTGAAATGTTTAGCCGGACCTTAAAGATGGGAAAATATCAATGTATATTATTGTTTTGATTGTACACGGTTGTTTTGACCGAACGCACAATGTCATTTGCAGGCTTTGAATAAATTATTTTTGCACATGATGTGCATGCTTTGCTTCCACATAATTATGATAAGCTTTCTCGTATTTTTTCATGTATATTATTAATATGTAATCACAATTTTTCTCCTGCAGTTTGGAATAAATAAGCACAAGTAAATTTTTTCAAAGACCACAGCCACATGGTTTAAATGTTGTAAAAGGGTTAATATTCCCTCTGCTATGCTTCAGCACGTTGATAATTTCGTTTCAAGAAAACATTTTGTTACGCTGTAAATGATCATGTCTTAGGTTGGTCAAAAAACTGACAGGTGAATTCATGCGTGTAAATGAACTTTATTTTCTGATTGAATACAAAATTCTCTGAGGGATTTGTTTGCTGACGTCATGAGCGTGCACAATAGGAATATGAAGCAAACTCATGCAATTGAATTTGATCAGACAAATTTACTAGCTATGTTGTAAAATGAATTAATCGTATGACAGTGAGGAAGGGAAATTCACTTTTTCATGTTGGTTTGATTCTTGGCTGGTTTAAAAGGCCCAGTGAGATAAACTATATACCAGGCATAAATTGACTTCACTAATTTAACAGCAGTATGTTTCACTTAATTTTCAACAGTGTCACACTTAATATTGTGAACTTTTACTCCTTTTTTTGTTGAATAGACTTCTGTCAAACATGCATAACAGACAGGGTCTTGTTTCTGCTTGCATGGTTCATTTACAGGGTATTTAAAGATATTTATCAAAGATGAGGGATGTAATTTAATGCAATGTTTCCTCCTGAACTCCTTGTGAGAAAATGGTTTCCTCAGGTAACATGACTTGTAAACCAATTATAATGAAGAAATTGAACTCAATCAGCTGATACAGAATTTTTAAAGTTTTTTCCATTCATAACCCAAAATTAGTTAATTTGAATTAGCTGCAAGAGAAAGGTCACAACTTGAAAAGGTTTCCTTCAAACTTGAGTTGTGTTGATTTGTTCTGTGTGTTTAAATTTATTTGATTTTTAGGGTACTCTGAGGGACGGGACACAATTTGACAGCAGTATCCCTCGAGGAGAACCATTCGTGTTTACATTAGGAGTGGGACAAGTTATCAAAGGTGGATACTTGTGATATAGCATGCATGACTTTGCAAAACAGGCTGATATTTGTAGTTTGCCATGATATTATGCATTTAAGCAAGTGATTGAACTTTCTACTGGTTTACCAATTAATTGCCCCATGTGGGAAGTGGGGAGAAGGCAAGAAACATTTGGACATCACAAGCTTATGGGGATCTATTACTTTAATTTATTAACAAGCATTGGGTTTAATGGTTTGATAAACTTTAGGTTTCAGAATGTTTATAGTTAACTTAGTTCCTCAAACATCTCATATGTTTTTTTTTACCCAACTGTTTTATTTTATAGTCATTTGTTATAAGGCAGGGAAAACAAAGCAAATAGAGGAGTGGTTTGGGACAGGTCTTGTAATGTTCTTGTTGGATTACATTGTAAAATAACCAACTGTCCAAACAGCTGTGCAATTTCACATGATATTTGTACTCAATTTGTGCATTATTTGTACTCTCTGAGAGCAGTTGAATAATAATGTAAGATATTTGGTTATATTAGAAGTGTTTTTACTATTTAATAAGTCATGATTTAATTTTTGTTACAGGATGGGATCAAGGACTATTAAAGTAAGTTACAACTATAGACCACTCATCATTTGTTTCTAAGTCTTATTTATACACAATAAATTCCTCTCTCCACATTACTTACATTTTCAAACTACTTCCTCAAACTTTTCCAGAACTGTACTGAACTATACAAGAAAAGTAAACTGTGAAAAGCAAGCTTTTGAACCTTGTTGTTCCTTATCTTAATTTTGTTAAAGCTGGGGTGAATTTTGTAGTAAAAGTGCTAGTGCATATGAGTTATGGATAAGTGGTCTGGATTTAGTAGTCTGGTGTAAGAGAATTTCTGGCTAGTGATTCAATGTTCAGTGTGCAAGCATGAAGTGTCAAGCATAGTCCACACAACATGGCAGGTATAGATGTATTGGGGGTCTATAAAATTGACATTTTTTTGCTCTCTCTACTTAAGGCTAAGGCTGAAGAGAACCTGAACAGTTATTGATAAACTGGCTTCAAACCATTCAGCAAATGTGGAACTAGCAGCAACATAAAATTATTTTTACCCTTGTGGTTTAACCTGTTCAATTACTTATAGACATTAAATTACAAAACATGAAAACCAACCTCTTTGGAAGTCCTTTTTTCATGCAATCTTGAAAAGCATCAGTTGATTTGTTGACAACTTGAAATACAGTTATTGCAAAAATTTCAATAACTATGAAAAAAATGAAATATTTCTAGTCAGTAGAGTTAAGCCAAAGGGTTGTCATTTGATTTGGTATTGTTTTAGCCTACAAAGTATAATCTTACACTGTTAAATGGGCACTTGATTAGTACAGCAACTAACAATGGCCAATGAAAAAGAGATTCAAGAGAATAGGGTGAGCTGGGAAGAGCTGAGGAGGAAAGGGAAGAATAGGCAACAGTGACGTTCTCTTGTTATGATCATATGTGCCTAAGGGTATGATGAGGACAGGCTGACTGACATATGGTATAGTTCCTATAGTTCTTTTTGGTGTCCAGCTACCAGCTTTTCTGTTTTAACATTTTGCTGTTACTTACTCAAGGTATAAATAAACTTGTTGTTGTTATTGTTAATTAAAACTTTTTTTTTTCCATGTTGTTTTTAGTATGTGTGAAGGAGAAAAGAGGAAACTTGTAATCCCATCAGACCTTGGTAAGTCCCTGCTCTGATATTTAAGTATATAATTTACGTCCAATGCAGTGAGTAAGAATTGTAGCTAGTAGATACTAGTAGGATTGATAATGGGGCAACTTACCTTGCTTGAAATGCAAGCTTATGTAGATATAATTTATCTGTTACATACGAGCAAGCTGAATTATGCAAGAATTCTACCAGTCATATTCTTATTAAAATAATTTTCAGCTGTTTTTGCTATACTAAGAGGATTTTTCTTTCTTTTGTGCAGGTTATGGGGACAGAGGAGCTCCCCCTAAGATCCCAGGTGAGTTAACAGCTTGTGGTCAACAGAGACAATGCTGAGTCAGAGCATTACATGAACACCAAAGATATTGATGCCAACCTCTGAAATTGTGAAATCTGGAAAGACTTGATTTTGAAGTATGGCATCAAAGCCACCCCAGCCGCCTCCTCTATAGATTTGTTCATTGAAACTCTGCCAGTCTCTCTTCACAGCCTGCAAGTTGCTAAATTGGATGCACATAATCTGACAAAAAAAGGAAAAACCACAAAACTACAATTATCCAATAAGGAATTATTTTTAGTAATTAATTGCTCATAATTCATATTGTCTACACTCTTAAACTATGTATTTAACTAAAGGTCACCAGAGAAATTTAAAGTAACCATGGTAATGTAAAACACAGGGCGACAAACCAAGTGGTCTATGAGCAATTGTGAAGTGGCAAATAAAAATTCCTTTGACCCCTAAAAGTTACCAGCAGCTAATATCTCCCTTTAGTATATACCACACAGGTGAATAGTACTTTTCACACGCACTGATTGGCTATTTGGAAGTGAATAGCAAGTACTAATCACCTTCCAGCAGCCGATGACAGAATTGTAATCAGATCTTGAACACCATATGGCGTGAAGGAAATCTTTTGATGTCAGAACTTTTTGAAAATAAAACTGTCTTTAAGAAAATCATAGAATACTTTCTGTTCATGTTAATTACGCTTCATGTTTATTTTTTTAATTTAGATTTCCGGGAAAGGACGGTTTTTGATTAACGAGAAAAGTGTTCTTTGATTTTGTGGGTAGAAAGTTATCGGTTTTTGGGCATATCTCTAGCACAGAATATGTTCCCGCATTTCAAACTTGAATTTCTCCCACGTGCTCCTCAAATAGACTTCCTGTTGACGTTTTTGAGTCGTGGGTTTGGATTGCCATGAGTTTTCTTAAAGGAACCGATCACACCCGAAGACTTCCTACTACAAGTAATGAGAATTTGGCGCAATCATTAAAGCGTGGTGTTGTCAAGTGCCTTAACAAGCGCCTTTACAAGCGCCTTGACCAGCGCCTTTAAAACCATGTCCTGGAGGGGCTCCAAATGACCGTTCAATCTTAAAATTAGCTAATGTAGACTAGCCGAGTCTACATGCAAAATTTGAGCCAAATCGGTGAACCTGCTTGTCCGACCAGCCTCTCGGTTTGCAATTGGACAACTAGTTTAAACAGAGTGTTCATGAACACCTTATCGCGTCCAAACGCATCGGAAAAATCTGCCGTAGTATCGGTAATACTAGGATTAAATACTGGTCTTAAAGACTTGTGCCATTTTAATTCCAACAAATCTGATGTTCATGACACAAGAATTAATTATAACTTGGTATAATTCCTCCAAAAGTTAATTAAAATTTCCATTGGACTGAAACTAAGATAATCGAACAATCAAACGACCAATTATTTTTCAAGTTCTATGGAAATCTTTACAAAAACATATGGCTTTAATAGCTTTATGTAAACCTTAAGGCAAAAACCGATTGAAAAAATCTGATGTTCGTGACACAAGAACTAATTATAACTAGGAAAAATTCCTCCAAAAGTTAATTGAAATTTTCGCTCGACTGTAACTAAGATAATCGAACAATCAAACGACCAAACGACCAATTATTTTTCAAGTTCTATGGAAATCTTTACACATGCATATGGCTGCAATACTTTATATAAACCTTAAGGCAAAAACCGATTGAGAAAAAAAAATTGCAAAAACATTTTGGGAAAACGTTTTCAAGGTGTATCAACTTGAACGTAAATGTAACACCTAAAAACTTGTTTACAGATAACAACCTCGTTCATGTTAGATAAAAAAAAGGGATAATGATTTCAAGACATCACTGATTAGAAAAAATTACTTTTAAGCTACTTCAAACAATTCATTAAAGATCAAAACAATGCAAAGTCTTTTTTCTTCGGCGTGTCCAAAATCCTAATAGCTCATAAGAGTATTTAAGACAAATAGAGAATCAACTTATAACAAAAAAAAAATCCGTATGGGCTCTTGAAGGCTCTTTCGGTTTTCCCTGCTTTTAATAGAGGACTCTTACAGAGATTTTATAGGTAGCCTTGTGGTTTCAGTTCCAAATATCAACGTTTGCAAGCAACTTTTTACTTCCTTGGGTTTCATATTTTCTATGATACAGCTCCAATTCTCACTGCCTTAACTGAAAAGTAAAAAAGGCATAATTTAGAGAGAATCGTGGAGTTCACTTAAAGTTTTTCATTTGGCTTTACGACATGAAACGATAAACTACCCAACAATTATTATAGCAGAAATTTATGTTTTACTCCTATCAAATTATAGAAGAAAAAGTCTGTGTCCAATCAATTTTAAAGCATCTCAATTTCTTCAGGAAAAAAGAAACTCCTAAACTCTACACAGCAAGAGAACAACAAAAGCATTTATGATCAAATATATTTCTATAATTTGGATTTAAAGTTACTTTGCATTGCGTAAATGTTATGAAAAGAGTAATTACATGGGTCGGCAACTGAATGTCCTTGAAATCAAGTTTGACGTCGTCACTAATGAGTACAAATGGCGCCCAGTACTTCTCCTCCTTGAAGGTTTCAGAATCTCTAATACACTTCATGGCCTGATTGAGAGCTTCACTTGCCTTCTTGCCTTTAACAAGTGCATCGCAGAAGAAACTCATGAACTCCAGGGTTCCCTCGTCACCTATCGTCCACAAGGCCACGACAGATGTAGCGCCAGCACCCAAGAATGTTCGGGCGATGCCGACCACACCCTCGGCAATGACCTCCCCACGAGCACTGTGACAACAGCTTAGAACAACCAGTCGCGCCCGCAGCCCAGCTTCCATGACATCTTTCATCGTCAGTAGATAGTCCTTCTCTTGAGGCTGAGGGGTTTCTCTTGTGGTGTTTGGTGCCAGGATAGCTTCACCAGTTTCCATTTTACCATGCGCTGCAATGTGTATTAAAGCCACTGCTAAAAGTCGTTTAACACTTTTTCTAATTTTCGTATCATTTACTATCAGCCGGGAACCATTTGTCGGACATAACCGCCAATGGTATTCTGAGATTGAAGCGGGCAAAAACGAGTTCGTGTCGCACTTATCGTCGTACTGTTCTTCAAGTACAAGTTGTCAAACCGCTGATATCGCGATAGGAACACCACAAGAGACTTCATCTTTTGCTGCTTCTACACCTAAACATCCTACAGATGGCACCTCCGCAGAGAGCAGGGGTGACAAACCACGGAGTGAAACACTACACTTTCCCAACAGCCCGTTCGTGGAGGAGTTCCCCGTCGATTATCTACCGGAGTTACCTACAGATCTGGCGACACTGATAGACGACTATCTCCTTCATTGCTGGAAATCTGGCGTTTGCCTTCGTCACCCACGGTTGTTCCTCCTGCTGCACTGCGTCGCCGACACTGGATCTGATCAACAGTTGATTCGAACGGAAGTAAGCCCTTGCCGTCAGGGTTGGAGGGTTTTGAGTTTCGCAGTGGACCACATCGACACGCTCATTCGCAAATGGTACCAAGAGTTAGCGACGATGGATGGACAGCAACCCAAAGTCAGGCAGCTTATTCCCTGTATGATGTGCGAAAGACTCGGCCTTGCAACCTCGTCATCATCATCATAAACTTTATTAATGTGTCTTGAATATCTGGCCGACGGGGTTAAAAACCCCTCTACTAATAGGGGACACTTAATAAAGTTAATAACCTACTAAATATTTTCTATTGAACTATTAAAAAAAAGCCTGATAATATATTTAACAATATAATATAGTTAAAAAACATATTAACTATCAACTGATGGGATAAATGATTAAAAAAATAAAGATTACGAATTACAAAGGATGCAATTAGAACGATTGTCGTCTTCTACCATTACGCTCAAATTAAATTTACGGATACGATTTTTAAAACTAAATAATGATGGGAGGGTTCTAAATTCGCTTGTTAGCTTATTCCACAACTTTGGTCCCAAGTAGGTGAGGGAATATTTGCCATATTTCTAGGTCCTAAATCTGAGGATGGCAAACTCCGCCACCCTTAAGTTGTAGGGTGAACAATGCGTGAGAAATAGCTCACTCACTATGGTGTAACAAAGTTTGTGTTTATATATACGGATAGTAATATCTTGCAGTCTTCTGTTCTGAAGCGTCGTTAGATCACTCTTGTCCAGTAATGCTTGGTAGCTCGATTGCTTATCTAGGAAAACTGCGCGTAGTGCTCTTTCTTGAATCCGTTCGAGCTTTCTTTTATCAGTATCACTACAGAAATGCCAAGTCAGGTGGCAATAGGTTAAGTAAGGCAATATGGTTGATTTACACAGAGTTAATTTAGCATTGGTAGGGATAAGTTTTTTAAGCCTCAACATTACGCCTACCTTTTGACTCGCCTTCTTACATATTTTACATTTTTTTATTTTACATATATTACATTTTAAGTCTCTTAATTTTTTAGCGCCTACTTATTTATATTCTTTCATTTCTCTTAGGCTCCCATCTAAATATAATTTAAGGAATTCTAGTGATAACCTTTTGCCTAGTTATCCGCGTTTTAAATCTATAGCTACACTAGGTGATCGTTCTTTTACCAGTGCTACACTGAAACTGTGGAATGCGTTACCATTTGACATAAGAAGCGCTAGCACAGTTAATATTTTTAAAGCCGAGCTAAAAACTCACCTTTTTCGTCATGCATTGTTAGCATATATAGTTGTTTTTATTATTGTGAGTTTACTTTTAATTGTAATTTTAGCTTTTTAACCTTTTTATTTTGTTTTTAATCTTGTCATGCGCATTTGAACATTTTATGGAATTTGCGCATTATTAATTTCCCATTATTATTATAATTATTATTATTTCATTAATGTGAGTGTTAAACTTCAATTGTTCGCCTATGGTAACTCCTAGCAAATTAAGACATTCAGAAGTTTCAATGGTGTTTCGTCGAAAGTGTAATCGAATGTTACTATCTGTACAGTTATGCTTTAAAGTCATAGTTTGATATTTGCTCAGGTTTCCTTTTAGCAGATTGCTAGCATTTTATTCGGAGGCCCTATTGGCATTCCTCATAAGATTGGTGTTAGCCATTTTCGGGTCCCCCGTTGTTTCATACATTTGATGGTCGATTTCATTTACAAGTTCAAGTTTACCGACTGTCAGCGTCAAAGTGCAAAGTCAGATTTAATCCGTTGTCCCAATCACCCGAGCTGGGAAGTTGATCTTCACAAGGTTGCACCTGATATAATGTTTCATGACGTAGATCCTGACTTATTGTTGTCGCACGAAGGCGTTAGGTATAAGGACGCCGACTCGAGTATCCTCGGAAGTGGAGGCTTTAGAAAGGTATCTGTTTCTCCATTACATTGTACCAGTCTTTTTGTAACTGGTGTGAAATTTGCGTTTTAACACAATTTATTATGGTTTCGGTGGAAAGAAAGTTTAAAATTTAGAATCGAACTGATGTGGATGGGGGTAAACTTATTATCTTCTGTCTTTTTTGCGAATTTATCGTGATAAGGGCGAACAGGAAGGTAACAAATGCTCTGCTACGAACTTTCCTTTTTCCCATGAAACTAGGCGTCCGTTCTAAGACCTCGAGCTATTTTTTCACCACTCATTCTCGGTTTGCTTTTATTTTGTTTTGTTTTTTTGCCGTTAGCTCCGCCCTGGCTCGCTAGTAGCAGACTCGTTGTTGATTTCCTCGCAGTTAAGGATTTTTTCGCAGTATGAGACGGCCTTGATGAATTTTTCCATAGGGTTAGGGTTAGGCGACTACGAATGGTATAACAGGCGTCTGCACCTGAAAGAGAGGCTATAAGGCCCCTTTATTGTATTGCAAGGTAGTCCTGAGCTGAATCCAAGCGTCCTGATTAGCTCTTACTTGGTCGGGATTTTGCCATACGGACCGTTTCCACGGAAACGGTCATAAGCCATGTCTTTTTCGTCGCGAAAGCTGGCAAATTTATAGTAAATAAGTTTGGCCCGAGTGCTATATAGTTAGCTACTTATTTACCTCGCTTGCTCGAGCTGCACTGGGGAATATAAGTCTTCGGTCAGTTTCGCACGGACCTCGTGCCAATATTCCTTAGTGGGACCCTCGCACTCGGTCAGTAAGAAGTTATTCCTCTATGGGTTTCTGGAAGCATGCCTAACAGACGGCAGTAGACCGCCATCAACCGGCCTTTAGTAAAATCCCCAGGTAAGGATATACCTTCAAGCTCTCTCAGCAAGTATCGCAAGAAAAACTCAAACAGGAAATGTAAAACAAAGGCCAAAATTGTTGATATAGTCTTCTTATCTCTCAGGTCGTTCGCGGGGAATGCCGAGGACAGGCAGTCGCCATCGAGTTCTACATTAAAAGTGATGAATCCGAACCCTTCAGGCATTACCGCGAGGCGCGCAAGGAACTGAACAAGCTGCTTCGTGTACGACAGCATCCTTTCCTTACCAACATCATCAGTGTGTCTTTGTGCCCCTTGTGCCTTGCTGCAAAAATGAAAAATGAGCGCCCTTCGTGACAGTGCTTCCTGACTATAATAGCGTGTTAGTGGAGTATTTTGTATATGGTTGGGTAAACAGAGTAAGACAGAAGATGGATAGCCAGCATTTCACTTCCTTACACTAAATAAGACCATAAACTCGTGATTATTCATCTCAAAGACTTTCGAGGCTCTTTTTCCGACCCCGCGTAACCTTTGTCGTGGAAACTTTCATACAAGTTAACTCTCTTTACTCGAATTGTGTTTCCTGACAAGTCAAAGCGAAAAATTATGTGGCCCGAAACACTGAAAGACTCTGGGACTTTTTTGTATTGTTGTTGTGATGGGAGGGCAGGGAGCTTCACAGTTTAGTCCTCTTCAGGTTTCGCTAGTTAAGGGTCGTTTAGGTACATTTCCCAACTACAGTGCTTTGTATCTCAAAAAAAAATTATGATGAAACGGTTTCTTCACGGCCATTGGCGTCTTCGCAGAACAGGAGTTAAAATCAAATGTTTTGAGGGATCATAAATCTTCTTTTTGAGATGAACCTATAAAACAATTAAATATTTACCGTTGAAACCGAGAATATTCTTTGTATTTCCAATGCCCTATCAACAAAATTGTACCAAAAGCCGGAATTTCACAAAAAGAAGGCATAGAATTTTGTAATCGATGAATATCGTGATCGGGAAAGAGGTAACTGTTGAGAATATTTGATCAAAAATTCCACTCAAAACTAGTTTTTGTATTTCTAGGAGTTTACCGGAATATTCCATGGTTATAAGTCAGTAGACACACATTTGACTAGGGAGGTTCTCGCGTTAATATTACTTTAAATGTAATTCTTCATGAATTTCTGTTTCTAGCGCGCGCTTAAAAGAAAAAGCTGCTATTATGACGCAATCTGATCCTAAATCAGACTTGGGAAAATATTACAGAGGCCAAGATGGTTTTTGTAACGTCTTGGATAAGTTTTTTTACATTCGCATGTTTCAGGGACTATTTTTGGCAGAGGTCAGAAACTGAATGCAAAGAAAGGTAGGTCTTTAATCATTCAGTCCAATTTCGATAAAAGTTTTAAGTTTGTAAATAAACAACGAAAAACTTTTACAGACCGATTGCGCGGCTTGCTTTATCAAACTATTAAATTGCTTCACCAGCTACTCGACATTAATGTGAATGTTCAAGAGTTTAAGTTTAAACTATGTGTTTGAGGCAGGCTCAAGGTATTTAACATCTTTGCACTAAATAAATAGAAAGAACAAGGCTTTATTTTTGCAAAACTTGTGTTGCAACCAAGTATTATTGGTAGTTGTCATTGTGGCGCTAACATTTCTTTTTTTCAGTTTTGAAGAGGAAGCCCGCAAGAAAGATGGAGAACAGCAAAGACAGGTATTCTGATTTCTTTGTAATGCCGTGTCAACGTAGCAGATTGCTTATTATTATTTTTTTTTTCAAGCTTCCGATGAGGAAGGATTACGTGCTAACAACTGTACTGCGTGGAGCAGGCCCGGCATAATTATAGAAAACTCCAAACCCCGACAAAACAAAATTTAAAAGTTTCATCAGAACTGTTTATTTGGGCCATGTTCAATTTCAGAGGTACTAATGCAAAAAGGTTTTCTTTTATTGTATTTCTCAAAGAAGAAAATAAACTATGAAAATTGTCAAGAGAAGATAAGAATCACACCATGATGGAAAAAAAAAACAAACAAATCAAGCAAGTCTTTAGTTTACTTTTTTTTTTCAGTTGTCAAGATTTCAACAACGCTCATTATAAAAAGGAGAGGACATTTCTGAAAGTAAAACACTTTCCTTACAACTCTCCTGACAAATTAGAGCTGCCACGTTAATTCAACGGGTTCAAAGCCTATATGGTTGACTTTGCAGCTGTAATATTTCAGACTCTTTGAAAATCTAATCAATCTTTGTCCAAAATATCACAAATGAAAAAACTTTGAATGATAAAACCTCTGTTTCACTCACCCACCGAAGCGGCGCAGCAGTGTTTTTAAAAGCTGCTAACTTGTCAACTAGTGTCATATGCTTTAAACATTTTTAAATGGAATATCTTCCTTGAGGAAATTAAGATGTAGTTTACTTGTAACTTTCTAAATTTTACTTTGTAGAAAGTGGAAAGTAGCGGATTGATATAAAGGTAGCCATTAGGGGGGAATGATTTTCCGTCTCTGTCTTTTCTTTGAGGGGCTATTGGAGAATATTTTCCATTTTTGAAATTCCATTACAGCATTGCAGCATGCAAAACAAAAATTTATATTCACAGAAAACTTTTAAACTAAACTGAGCAAGCAGCGTAACATATTGATTAATTGCTTCAGATTTCTCAATTTAATTTTTTCTAAGTGAAATAAAGCTGTCAGGGACTGTCTATTTGCTCGAGTTCTCACACATCTTGTTACACCCTCCGTCAGTCGGGTTTTTGAATCGGCTGTTTGGACGCACTCAAGTTACCGAAACGTTGTGAAAAGGTTGCCGTCATAAGGAGGTGGATGTTACTCTTGAGAGGAAGACATTGTTGGAATGTGGCGTTTGTTAAAAGTTAATCGTTGTTGAGAGAGTTCCCGTTGTAGGGAGAAGACCGTTTTCAAAACGTTGGCCGCAGCGGTTCCACAGAAAAAAAATAGACCGTTGATATCAACATCAACAGAATATGAAGTTTTTAAGA